GTTTTCTTTGGGGGCCTGCGCTGACCGCGGGCGTGTGCGCGCCTTGTGTCATCTCATCGAGTAAGTCCTTTGCCGCCATCGAGGTCACCTCGTCTTGGCAGACGCGAGTCGACGTTGATGCACCGTGATGGGAACTGATATGGGTCGGCTGGTCCGCTAGGCCAAGGGCCAGAAAGCTTGTGATCACTTATCTCTCCCCGTGGACCCTGAGGCTGTACCAAGGCCCTGCGACCTGGCTTTCGAGCAACCTTTTCACAATCGGTCAACGAGAATCCCCCACCCCCACGGCACTTGCGGTCGATGTCCAGCCGACCCGTCAGTCTTGGATTCAGCAGACGTGATTGGCTGAGCTTGTACAGTAGCAGCTGCGCTACTAACTTTAGCCCATGAAGCGACAAGTCCCTGCATATAGGGGCCTGTGAAGATTTCGGCTGTTCTTCTGTAGTTCTAGTTGAGAAAGTCTTTCTACGGTTGACCCTATTTGTTCACACACTTCGTGTATAAAGTGAGGCTTGGTGAGATGGAAGTTCGGGAAATACAACAGCGACTGTTGTATCACAATGTACCTGTCAAAGCTCTGCCTCGTCTGTTTCTTTTAGTGCTGCGCTCGAAGACTCCTGCGCCCCCTCAGAAAAGTAAAAACACCAATTGACTGGCGTCATCTCTGTGGCGAGCATCTTGCTTTAAACAGAATGAATGCGAATCCCGATTCTATCAAAAAGAAAAAGTTACTCGATTTCAGCATCTTCCCATATCGTCCAGCTCTCGGCTTCTTCTGCTGTACCCGGAAGACCAGCGCAAGAATGGGGCTACGTCCAAAGCGCTTTTCCTAAAAGACACCGACACCTGAATTCCTCCCGACGCGCAACAGTCACTCTGGCAATCCGGATGGATGGCCTGCCCCAAGCAACTCAACTCTGTCACTGCTGCCCAATTTCAGTCACCCTTGGTTGAGACTTTTGTGACAGCTGTTCCGGATACCTGAGCCATAACAACGGCGATGTGATTGCCCAATGCGAAAAGAAAAACCTTGAGCTTACCTACGCATCCGTGTTCAATAGCTGTTGTAGATTTATCGCTTTCAGAGTTACCTAGCAACGGTCAAAGGTTGGGCCGTGGTTGGGCAGAGGCGGAGTGTTCAATATCTGGCAGTGCTTGGTTGCTACCCTATCTTGGCTGATACTGTACAATCTGCTCGTATGCGAGAGCTTGCAGAGAAGGACTGTCGGTTGGCGAGGACATTGATGCAGCTTACACGTGCGAATGGGCTGAGAGGACCACTTGATGCTTCAACACGGCATTTTCAAAACCTACACAACGCCTCGCCCGCAGACTATCGCCACTTACTTGTATGTACCCTTGATCCTTATTGACGCTATCCGCTATCTATGTTACAGTAGCAACTCCATTACCCAAAACCAATGCTTGAAAGAAAGAGTATTCGAGATGACTTCCGCAATGTGCCACCCAGTCTTCCATCCCCGGATTTAGCCAGCATGCGCCTTTCCTTTCATTTTGAATGATTCTGCCTGCGGCAATATCGTAGCTTCACTACACCAAGTACAATACAGCGAAAGAAGGACCAAAGCCGACTCAGGGCTTGGTGCGGTGGATGAAGGGATGGCGCAAGGCCTCGTAAGGTGTGATGCGCTTCTCCGGATTCAGCGAAAGACACTTGTCCAGGAAGTCGTGGAAGAGGTTGACTTCCTTGAGTTCAGCATCTGTCAGTCCCTTGGAACTTCCAATGAGACGAGACTTGAGATCCCTCGTTGGCTTCGTGAAGTTGATCATGCGAATGACATCCTACCCAATTGTTAGCATGGATCGACAAAAGGATCCTTAATGCTTACCTTGTTTGTGATCTTGTCTGTTTCCACGCTCCTAAAGAGGTTGAGGTTCTCATCAAAGTGCTCGTAAACGTAGTCCGCCCAGCCTTTTTTGAGCAACTTGACGCTCATCTTGCCACGGCATTCCTGGATGGAGCGAAGCATCTGATTGTTGTCACGTCCAGTAAAGAGAATCTTGCCAGTATAGAGCTCGAAAAGGGTGCAGCCGATGGCCCAGGTATCGATTCCGTAGTCGTGTGGGATCCCAAGCATAATCTCAGGCGCGCGGTAGAAGCGACTCACCAAAAGGCCAGCAGGCACTTCGCACTCGGAAATGTCCATGGCGGAGCCAAGATCGCAGATTTTGAGCACATTGCGAGTGTCGTTGACCAGCATGTTGTCGGGCTTGATGTCAGCGTGGACAACGTTGCACTTGCGCAGCAGGCTCAAAGCGACAAACATTTGCTGCGCATAAGAGCGGACAGCCCTGAGATTAAGCCCGACGTCACGACCAAACTTTTTGAGCACCTCTCGAAGATTGACGCTCAAGTGCTCGAAAACCATACACAGGTGATGTTTGTGGTCAAACCAGCGCAGCATGCGGATACAATGGCGCTTGTCCTCTGGATCGTGGTCTGCCAGCTTCTCCAGTGTTTCGATCTCCTTGACTCCGGCTTTTCTCAACACCTCGTCATTGCGAATGATTTTGATGGCAACAAGGGTATCGGTTTTGACGTCTCTGGCACGAACGACTTCGGAAAACACACCCTTGCCAAGTCTGGCTTGGACTTCGTAGCGGTCGTCGAGCAGCTCATTGAGAATCACCTTGTAGTAGCCTTGGTGGTCGTCCCAGACATCAAGCATACTGCTGTCCAGTTTCTTTACCTGCGGTGCCTTGCCAGACTCGCTAGGATTGGCAATGGGCTTGGAGACTGTCTCTTCAGCAAACATGTCGTCGTCATCATCTTCGGCAAACATGTCGAACTCGTCTTTGCGCTTGGGCTTCGAAGTCTCCTGGGTTTTTGGCTCAGGCGGTTGCGCATTTTCTTGGGCTTCGGCTTCTTGGTGGGCATTTCTAATTTGCTGCTGTTGCTCGACGCGAGCTCTATCCTCGTTCATGTCAGCAGTTGGGTCGTAGTCGGCCGCCGACGGCTCGTCCCTGTCTGTCGAATTATCATCAACGCGTCGGATATTTGCGAGGTCCTCGTCCTGTTGAACCTGGACGGCCGGCGGAGAACCGGGGTTAGAGCCGTCAGGAGTAGCGGGCGATGAGTCCATTGGAGAAACTGTATAAGTCAGCGCACATGTCTGTGTGTTCCCGCTTCGGTACTTACCCGATCTCGCCGGACGGCTGTCGGAACTCTCGTCTTTGGGAGTAGCTGGACTCGATTCATTTCCCAAATGGAGGGCTTGAACAAGCAAAGGCGTGGATTGACCCTTGTACTTAGCTTTGATGGCCTCGCGCCGCTTGCGGCGTTCTTCGATCAAGGCTGCTTCATCGACGGGGTGAACTTGAGGTGGAGCTTGGTCAACGACTAGCTCATCAGCCGACCTGAGCCAATCAATTAGCAGGTTTCTGACTGACGTCCAAGAGTTACTTGCTTGTCTGTCTGGGGTCGCACATCTCGCATTGGTTCGTCCTGTCCCACGCCATTGTGATGCTCGGCCCTAGAAGGTGGTCTGCTGGTTCCTGGAAGCTCGCGTGAGCGCCATTCCGCACCTTTTTCACGGTCGTGACGCCTGCGGTCTCGTCGGTCGTATGAGTCGTACCGGCCATTGCGAAATTCGGCGGAGTGGCCGCCTCTCATGTGTGAACGAGGTGGCGGAGAGCGGCTTCGATGTCCCCGGAACCGATTGCGGTCGGGGTCGTCATACCTTGGCGCGGGACGCGACGTGTCTCCTCGATCGATGTCTGCGTACGAGACGCGGTTTCGACGGTCTTGGTCATGTGGGCGCCTGTCTTCGTAGCGGACCTTGAAGCGACGCGGGTCCTGGCGCTCACGGTCACTGTAGAAGTCGTCCTCTCGACGGCGCTTTTCCCTGCGCGGTGACCGGGCTTTGTAAGGGGAGCGGGAGCGGTGACGCTGGGAGCCATTTTCATAGGGGCCCCTGGGAGAGCGCGAAACTGAGGCACGGGGTCTGGATTGACGGTCAACGCTGATGCCCCTTGAGGATGGCATTGTCGAACTAGTTGCCTTGTCGACCTGGTGCTCGTGTATTTCTCCCTCCGATTCGGATCTTGAGCTCATGATGGGAGTGGGGAAACTGTGGGATGGCGGTTGCAAGTGAGGCAGGTTAGCTTGCGTCTCCACTGTGAAAGCAGGCTTGACAGAAGTCGAACCAGCAATGATAGCCCTCTCCTTGCTCCTGAGCGCCGGCTGAGGCGGTCGCGATTGCGGCACAAGAGATGGAAGGACGAGTGAGGGTGACTGCTCGAAAGCGTCGCGGAAGCTCAGAGAGTAGAAGTGGTGTGAAGGTGCAATGGACGTTTGCTAAAGATGTGGAATAACCGAACCACCACCCACGGGCAGCCAGCTCTTGCCCCAGGCAGGACCTGGACGCGACCCAACGGCGGTGGCCGCGCGGTCGGCAGTTGAAGAGCCGAAGTTCCGACTAGATGGTCCGAGCGCCCCGTGAAACATGATGCAGCTACGCTGCTTTCCTAATCTGGCAGGATGAAGAATCTCTCTCCATGCTTTCATTCTCTTGGAATGCTTCGTCTTGAACTTCAGGCAGTGTGGCTGGACCTTGCGCATGGGGGGCAGTTACAGCATCATGTAGCATGGCTTAAATAGATTACTTAAATACAAGTTATTTAAGCTATCCATCGGAACGCTTCCCTTTTTATTGTGCTTAAGACACATGTAAACTAGAATTAGCTACTGTTAGGTGCCGCCCGTCATGGTCTAAAGGTCAGCGTCCTCTTCTAGCTTATGGAGTTTATGTAAGTGTCCTCGCTCCTATAAGGGCCACATGGGCATTAATGCATTATAAGTAGGTAAATCATGTACGGCGCCTAGATGCTTCACTTTAAAACTTCTCACCCGTAAGGCACCCTAAAAAGCCTATAACTCTTCTAATTTAACCTACTATTGCTCTAGAACGCTAAAACAGCTTCCTTTACAACAAAAAGCAATAATCTGAGACCATAAGAGAGTGCTAAAAAGCGAAGCTCGACGCGGATGGGACTCGAACCCACAATCTTCGCCAAACTCTTTAAGGAGAGTTATCCCAAACCGGAAAGCGACGCCTTACCATTAGGCCACCGCGCCATTTCGTGAATTTTCGCAAATTACATTCTATAATCAATCATCATTTACTTTCTCGAAAACTTCGCTTCATTTCCCTAAACTTCTCAGGGAAAGAGGATAGAACGGCCTTTTTTTTATAGGGTAGGTAGATTCACTAGTAGACTCCTACTTATCTATAAGTAGGGTGTTACGCTATCTAAAGCTAGATTCTATAATATTTTAGATATATATAGATGCCCTACTAAGGTACCCTATATTCTAAGGACGCGATTAATTAATTAATTAATTAATTAATTAATTATTTTACGTCTTACTAGAGCTATAGGCTATCTAAGACGGAGCTATCTATAGGGGATCCTACGTATATTTATAAGGTAAGTAGGGATGCCTAGCTAAAGAATCTTATATAATAAGGCGCGATTCTTAGTATAATATTAGTATAGGGTAGGTATAGATAGATAGTTTATCTAGGCTCTTTTTAGGTAAGGGGGGGCTAAGAACTAGCCTTCCTACTATTATCTAAGTAGATAGGTAGTATAGAGTAAGAGTAAGGAAAGGAAGGGGGATAGGAAGAAGGCATATATAGAAAAGTAAATATAGTATAGGGTAGTAGGTAAGGTAGATTATATATATACTCTACTATAGTATTCTAGTACTATCCCTAATAGTACTATTCTTAGTTAGCGTTATATAATACCTTTCTTAGTACCTATAAAGGTAAAAAAAGCGGGTAAGGTTTTTAACTAGTAGTATCTATCTTCTAGCTAACTAGTATAGTTAGCTAATACTTATTATAGAAAATAAAGAACGCTTAAGAACCTAGGTTTAATCTATGTTAATATTACTTACTATTTAATCTAGCCTAGTTACTACTATTAGATAACCGTATATTAATATTATTACTAATAATAGGGCTCTATACGCCGCCCTAGCCTAGGTATACTATATAGACGAATAGTATTAAGCCCTTACCTTACTACTAAACGGTTATCTAATTATTATTAGGAGTGGGAGGGTTTAGCTAGAGTAGTTATAGAGTAGTTATCTAAGTTATATTAACGCCTTCCTAATCTAGAGGGCTAGGGTCTTAGTAGAGGCTCTATATAAGGTAGAGGAGGGATATAAGCCTAGAGGGTATTAGGTAGATTATAGATAAAGGGGTCCCTTCCTAGATTATCTTTAGTTAGAGGGGTTCTAGGGTAGTACCTATAGGAACTATAAGTAGAGGGATTATAGAGCTTATTATTCACTCTACTAATAGAGCTTAGAATAGATTCTCTCTTCTTCTTTTTACTCTTCTTTTCCCTTAGTCTACTCTTTATATGTGCTATGCCCTAGTAGAAACCTTCATCTAATATATAAATTTAAGTATAAATTATTAACCGACATCTCCTTAGAATAGCTCTCTATAGGGTATAGAGGCTATATTCCTACTATTATTATTATATACCTAAAGTACTTCCTATATTACTTCTTTCCTAGTAGAGCTATAGAGTAGGTAGTTACTAATAAGATATTATAGTATTTATTAGGCGGTATTATTATAGCTATAGTTATCCTAGGCTATCTTACTAAACTATAATAGGTAGGCTTTAAAGTAGCTATAGTTTAGTTTTAATTAGAAGTAGGCTAATACTTCTAGTTATCTATACTTAGAGAGTTAGATAGACGTCCTTAGTATAGATAGGAAGTTATATACATATAACCCCTAGGATAGTATTATCTATACTTCCTAGTATTATATAGTATATACTATCTATTCTACTATAGTTCTTTATCGTACGCGTATCCTAAGGAGGGTAGTACTTAAGTAGTTATTCTCTAGGGTTAGCTTAGTAGCCTCCTTTATAAGGGCGTCTACTTATAGGTTTCCTCTAATCCCTATATAGCCTAGGGCCTATAAGAAGGTAAGACTACCTTATCTAGCTATAATTAAGTAGCCTATATCTATAGCTTAAAGTTATAGTCCTTAACCTAGTAGGTTAGACGGGGTTTAGAGGTAGTATAGTATAGCTTAGTTATCTATATATACTATAATCTATTATCCTAGCTATTTCTAGGTAGCTAACTCTATAGCCCTTATAAGTACCTCTAGTTCTCTATTATATATGAGCTAGTATGGTCTAGTATTTCCTCTATATCTTACTACTACTCTTATACTATCTTATTAGATGTCGTACGCTATAATTCCTATACCTACTCTATTTCCTTTTAGGATAGATGAAGCGTTAGAGTATAGAATAACTATCTAAGTTATATATCCTATATATCTAATATGTACTTAGGCTTCTTATTCCTTTAGGAGGTAGCTAATCTTAACTTTATACGGAGTAGTCTTTTTCTATAGGGGAAAGGAACTATGTTTAATTAGGCTTTTAGTACCTATTACTAGGTCCGAAATTATACTCTAGATATATTTAAGTTATATCTATCATCCTAGTATATTCTCTTATTTAAACTTATTAATAATTATATATACTAGGTATTAGTAACTAAGCTTAAAGAGTTATATAGTATATACTTAAAGTAACATATTATACCTTAGGTAGGAGGGGAGAAGTCCTACTTTAATTTCTATAGGGGTAATTAGGGAGGTCTAAAAGGCTCCTAGGATTTAGCGTAGTCTATTATTTTAAAGTATTCATCTAAGTATCTTAGAGCTACTAACTTACTAGAAAACTAGGGACCTATAATCTACTATACTTTATATATAAGCTAGGTATAGTTATTAGATAGTAGTAGGAGATAGTCTATATTATATATTAGCTAGCTACATGAGCCTACTAAGTAATTACTTTACTTAGGCGTTCTAAATTATCGTATACTACTAGAATAATAGGTATATATTAAACTATATCCTAAGCTATTAGATAAGTTACTTTAGCTATACTATATAGTCTCCTAGGAGCGTAATTATAGCTTACTTAGCCTTATCTAAGCTTATAAAATAGATAAGGTCTATTTTATCTTTATTAAAATTAACGGTATATTAGGTTCTAAGTAAGAAAAGCTAGTTAGCTTCCTACTAGAGGATCCGCGTATTTTTCTTCTAGCTTATTAAGGAGATTATAATTAAAACATTATTAATATATAAGAGGAATCGGACTAAGTAAGAGGAAAAGAGTTTTTATATATAAATAAGAAATAGGATTAGTAAGACTAGGCTTCCCTAGGGGGTTCCTAAAACTATTAGATAAAGGTCCTCTTATTAGCTATTAAAGGAGATCTAGAGTTATTACCTACTAGTAAATGTCTTTACCTATACTAGGAGGGAGGTAGGGAGCCTAATTTCCCCTATTATATATAAGAGCTAGTTATAGGCTACATAATTAAAGGCACCTTATATATTAAGGAATAGGGTTAATGTCTTATACTATACCCTCCTCTCATCTTAGATAATATATATAAGGATTATTACTACATTAATTACTAACTTCTATAGTTATCCGCCTATTTAGGATAGGTATAGAAGGTAGATAGCTTCTATAAGCACTCTAAGACGTTTTACTATAATGCGTTTAAGGACTTTTCCTAGGTAGTTAAGTAGGGAGATAACTCTATACGCTTTTAGGTCTATATAATTAGGTTTCCCTAGCTTCTTAAGTATTATACCTACCGCTTCTCTCTAGCATTCTAGGTAATATCTATACGTAAAGAAGGTTTAGTATATCTAGGTAAATTTTTTAGGATGAGCGTTATATGCCTTAGTAATTATCTTCTAGTAGATCTAGTCTAGCCTAGGGGTAGTGCCTTTAATCTTATAAGAGTAGGCATACTATACTTCCTTATCTATAAGGGGGGGCTAGTCCTATAGCCCTTCCTTATAGTTTATCTAGTTACGTAGGGGAATATATAGTAGTAGGGGGAAGAGTTTCTAATAGAAGGTAGTATACTTACTATTATATAATGATTAGAGTTAATCTTAAAGGTTATATATCTAGGGGATTCGCTTAGATCGGGTTACTTTCGTGTATACTATTACCTTATAGATAGACTAGGGTGTTTCTTTTATAAGGAAGTTATTCTAGTACTCTTATTTTACCTACTTAATGGCTATATTATATATATTCTATGCTTATATATATATAACTTAGTTATAACGTGCCCTATACCTTACTTATATAGTAGTTATCCTTAAGGCTATAAGGAGTAGGGACTACTATAGTTTTTATTACTATCTAGGGGTTACCTATAGGATGCTATATTTAGCTACTATCTCTATTACCTTTATAAGGCGTTATCTAAGTTAGTCTAGGTCCTCTTATAAGGTCCTACTAGAGAGTATATATTATACCCTATTAGGAAGGGCTTAGATAAGTAGACTTATAATCTTATTTAACTCTTCTTAGATGATTTACCTATACTAGGCCTAGTCGGCCTTTTTAACGTTAAACCGTAGTAGTAGTATTAGTATATCTTAAAACTCGTTATACATGATAGTAAAGAGAATAGTATTATAGTTAGATAGGGGGTTCTCTTATACCTACTAGTTAATTACTTAAGTAGTAACTATTAGAGTATATAGGGAGAGGTTAATAACTATTTCCCTTTCTATCCCTATATAAAAGAAGGTACCTACTCTAGGTTAGTTTTAGAGTTTAAGGCGGTTTTCCTTAATCTATTTATATAGAGCTTCTACTTTATAAGATTAGGGGGAGAGTAGGTTCTATATTAGATAGTATTTATTAAAGTCCCCTATATAGATTATTAGTATAGTAGGGGGGCTATACTTAATAACTCTTTCTATTATATGTAGGGAGGATAGGGTGCCTTACTCTACCTTATTATAGATGTTAACTATATAGATAGTATCTTCTCTATAGGTTAAATCTATAGTAAGGTAGTTAGGGCTAGGGAAGATATCTAGATAAGGATTTACCTAGATATAGGTAAGGGATTTATTTAGGTAGAGTATTATCTAAGGACGTAAGCCCTATAGGAAGGTTAGAAGAATTTATATTATAGAGGGGTAGGAGATTAATTATATATTAGCTACATTATCTTATAGTATCATCTATAGT